ATAGCCGTAAACAATTTTATTATACGAATCTCTTGGTGGCGAGCAGCCAGGCAGTGATAATTCGCAGCTACTCGTCCCGGCTACGCGTTCCCTTTGATGCCGAGGATAGACGACGCTTCGGAACCTCGCATTGTTCGAAACCTGCCGTTAGTTACGTGCCACGGTATATAGGATATCATCGTAGTCCGCGTCCGAGAAGGAGAGACCCCATAGGTTTGTGGCACGCGCTGCCAGCTGCCCCACAGCTGTCTCTCCTCTGTCGTCCCCTACACACGAGGCCAGGGTTCTTATTCGACCGTGGTGCATTTACCACACCGAACGAACCGTTTCGCTTCTGTGTGCACGCACGTGCGTACTGAGAGCTCGGCGAGCGCGCGCGGCCGGGCGATATTTTATTGGCATGCACATTGCCACGAGAGCGCGAAGCCCGGGCCTGCCGAGTCCTGTCGTAAGGAGCGAATCCTGAACAATAGAGCCCGATGATCCGAGAGGCCTGCGTAAACGGCCTCGTGGAACGGCCGTTGCGCGAACTCGCGGTCATTTTTCTTCTTTTGTCGATGTCGTTGTCAATAATTGCTCATTAGACGGCTGCGCGTCTGTGGAGATACTTCTACGCGTCGGGCTAATTTCAATTGTATTTCCACAAACGTAATTTTGCATTCCCGGCGATACCGAGTTATGTAATAACTTGTTCTGTAAGCGCATCAAGTGACGAGCACACACGCAAATGTGTGTACAATTTAATTGTAGCCAAATGTAACTATAGACTTTTGCAGTGGACAAAATCCATTCTAATCGCTAGAGTCATTTTTTATTCTATCCGATTTTGCATATCAAATTACTCACAAACTCTAATGGAACAATGACTTTCGTTCCAAACGCTTAAAAAGTTATAGTTGGCGGGAATATGAGATATAGGTATTTTTGAGCTATTTGTCTGTCATGCAACAAAAAGTTGCTATAAGGTCGTTTTTCACTTCAGTGTGCCAGATCAAGCTGTAAAAAATGTTAAGGTGTAAAATCAAAAGTGTGCCAGATTAAGATGTTCATTTGTGTCGTGTGAGGGATACAAAAAACAACATAAATTACAAATACGACTGTATGATGTACAATAAGAAAAAAATTCATTGTAAAAAAGCCCAAGAAGCGACAACTGCAACAAGATGTCCTACAATAAAAATAAAATAACTTTCGCTCCTTTTTTCACGCAGGACGTCGCATTGCGTATGTAGAGCCATCGGGAGACGATATGCACGGGGGGTTCTCTACATTTGCGGTTTCCCATCCGGCTCGAGCAGCGCAAACTCGCAGGAAATAGTCCTGGAGTATCCTAGAGGACACAGGGCTATTGGGTTTCGCGTGGAAAAAAAAAACGAGGTCGCCGGCGGCAGCAGGAGGGAAGGTGAACGGGATACACGAGGAGACGTGTGAGTGCTCCGGCGAAAAATAAAAAAAGACGCAGGGAGGGAAGGGAAGGGAACGGCGAAGTGCACACGCTAAGGACCGGAAATCCCAGGGCGTTCAACCCTGACACCCGGTATATATTTAGATTTAAAGAGACCCCGATCTAGTCCGATTTCGTAGATACGCACGGCGATCGATCGGCATACTTCAGCCTTTGAAATAACATCGACGTCTCATATCTCGCGCTCGATGTCGTTCGGAAGTAGTGTCGAAATACGTCGGAGTAGCAACAGGACCTGTCCGATCGCACAGCACCTCGTTGGGAAATATCGTCAGCACGCGTTGCGGATATCGTCACGAGCTCCCCGCACGCGCTAAGCCATGTGCTACGAGACGGAATTATTTACGCGTCCGCGGGAGAAATGGACATTAAATTGCTCGGCCACGTGGCTGTCGACGGTATCGCTGTTTTTAAGGAGAACCTCGCACTTCCGCGAAGGAAGTCGATCATTTCCTACCGCGTTCATTGCACAATCGCGCACGCAATATGCCGCGATGCTCGCGTATCGGCTCGCCCACTCGACCATTCGCGGACGACATGCCACATTCTGCCTGTACTACACGCGTCACGCCGAGGGTGTAACGATCTTCTGCGGAAATTAATTACTGTGATAGTGTAGTCGTCGGAATTTCACGATTCGCCCATAAAACTGCCGTCTTGCGCGTCGAAGGCACTCGCGATCGTCAATCGCGCGTGTCAAAAGCGAAAGCTTTTACGTTGGCAATTAAGGAGAGCACTCTGGCGCTTCACCAAATGCAGAATAAATAACTTATAATATGCGCAACGGCTTGCAAAACAGTTCAAACACAATGAAGTTCGGAGCTCACTAAACTGCCAAAATTGAAAATCATTACTGAGACTGACTTAGGCAATAGTAATAAAATCAGTAATACAATTAAGAATACTTAATGGTAATAAATAATAATAATACTAATAATACTTAATAGTAACAATATTTAATAATATAATTAATAGGTAAATCAATCAACAAACTTGAAAAGCTACTGTTGTTTTAGAAAATGTGTATTTTTGCACTTGAGAAAAACTTTCTCTTAATATAAAAATATGTATATTAATATGTAAAGTGAACATATGAATTAGTATCCAACGAAAAAATATTTCTTATTTTTTAAGTATTTTCTTCTCAATATACATATATCATCTTTTTATGCATTTCTCCCACTTTCCACTGTCTTTTTGGATATATATTTCTTTTATGTAGTTTTCAAAATTATATTTTGCGTGTGAGTTTTGCGCCAGAATCGAAAGATTTATCGTTCGTGTTCCATTTGCTTGTTACTGTTTCTTTTTCTAAATTTTTCTTGTCAAATTTTCTTGCACGATGTAAGAATCTGATTATACTTTGCTACGATTATGTACGCGTTGATCGCGATACCTGACGATTCTACACCGAGACATGATACATCTGATAAACAGTATCTATAACTAGAAACGCGGAGGCGTCGTAGCAACACACGTTTTTTCTCTACGATTGAGGCCTCCTCTCGCCTACCTATGCGATTGAAACGCTGTTGTCTGATTTAAACGACGAAAATCCGCCGGCTGAAAAATTACTTTGCGCGAAAGCTGCAAAGTACCGGCGTCTTTAGAGACACAATACCGCAGTGGCGGCCTTCTCGAAATAGACGAGGAGCCCAGCCCTCCAAACTCGTCCGAAAATAAAACAGGTTTCTTCCTTGCGAACGGCCACGTCCAATTGGACGACTCCGCCGGAACGGTCATTTATTTATTATCCGACGCCTATTTCCAATTGTGGTTGTTGTCGTCGTCGTCGTCGTCGTCGTCGTCGTCGTCGTCGTCGTGCTGCTGCTGCTTGTGCCAATCAACGAGCCACAGATACCATTAGCGAATTTCCGTCTTATTGATCGGTTTGCACAAAATCGGCCCTGAGCAACTGTACGACCCGTCGGGCAATTGTCCAAACAAGAAGCTACGCGCTGCATGCACATACTGACGCTCTTGTCACACGGAGGGTCCGAGTGCTTTCGATGAAAAAGGAGAAAGAAAAAAGAAAGAAAGAAAGAGAAAATAACGTCACGACACGATTGTCTTGCGCGTGTGTGCGCCGAAACAACATTCTCGTGATGGAACAGCGATGCTTTCATATGTCCCGCAGTTGTCTTATATAGCGTTGTCAATTACGGATTTGAGCACAACTCAAGCGCTGATCGTATTCAAAAATTCACGGATTAATAGAAGTGATAGCTTCGAATTTTTCTGCGATTATTAACTGTCTTAATAATGCGGATGATCAGTGAAATTGCAAAATGCCGTATTATTGAAAGAAAGAAAAAAGTAAGTAATGACGCAATGAGATTTCATAAACTACTAGGAAATAATTGATTCATGGTTGTCATGATGAAGAGCTTCATCATTACTCAAAAAAACAATGAGTCGATTCACAAGTTAGCTCAAACTAGAGAATGTGATAGTCATTAATTTTTCATAATACAATAGAACTAATTTGTATAAGAAAAATCGTATTTGTGTGTACAAAGAATAAAATATATTTTATAATATTCACTTCGAATTTTTCTGCGATTATTAACTGTCTTAATAATGCGGATGATCAGTGAAATTGCAAAATGCCGTATTATTGAAAGAAAGAAAAAAGTAAGTAATGACGCAATGAGATTTCATAAACTACTAGGAAATAATTGATTCATGGTTGTCATGATGAAGAGCTTCATCATTACTCAAAAAAACAATGAGTCGATTCACAAGTTAGCTCAAACTAGAGAATGTGATAGTCATTAATTTTTCATAATACAATAGAACTAATTTGTATAAGAAAAATCGTATTTGTGTGTACAAAGAATAAAATATATTTTATAATATTCACTTCGAATTTTTCTGCGATTATTAACTGTCTTAATAATGCGGATGATCAGTGAAATTGCAAAATGCCGTATTATTGAAAGAAAGAAAAAAGTAAGTAATGACGCAATGAGATTTCATAAACTACTAGGAAATAATTGATTCATGGTTGTCATGATGAAGAGCTTCATCATTACTCAAAAAAACAATGAGTCGATTCACAAGTTAGCTCAAACTAGAGAATGTGATAGTCATTAATTTTTCATAATACAATAGAACTAATTTGTATAAGAAAAATCGTATTTGTGTGTACAAAGAATAAAATATATTTTATAATATTCACTAAAATAAGAGCTATATATATTTTTTTTTCAAACTAACGAAGCCGCAATAATGTGAATGTGGCTAGATAAGAGTGATAGCGTAATACATTTTAATAATTGACAGCACGCTTACGCCTTGGCCATCTATCGACTGACGCCTCAAGTGTTTCGCGAATAATGATCTCTTGTTAAGTTATATATGGGATATAATTGTTAGAAATACTCTGTTAAGAGCTAATTACACTTATTACTTTTGATGGTTGAAACTTTAATTTTAGTTTACATGAAATTAAAGCTCTAATTTTGACAAAGAATTAAAAGTAGGAACTTTTGACAAAGAATTAAAAGTAGGAACTCAAAAAAAACACGCCAACTCTAAGGAACACATGTAAAAAATGTCAATTTTAGTTTCAGATATCTCAACACTCGAATAACAAATATTTGTTCAATTGCACGAGCAATTAGATAACATTTCAATTTGTACATAGCGCAAGTCTCAATAAATTCTTAACAAACTTATCTTGCCTGACAACCTCCTCAAATATATACATAAATAACAATGATCATTTCAATTTTTAATTGGAGCTCACCAGGCACCATTTATGAAAATTAATGTGTGCTATATAAATTTGATAAAACTTCCGTGTAAGATCTACTTTACTGGTTTAAAGCTATTGATATATGGCGTCTGATATTGCGAGGGGTATACGCGGCCAAAGTCCGTGCCTACGTATCCATTTATTGGCTCTGACGAGAAGGAACCAGGGAAATACGGATGATTCGCATGATGATTCGAGTATGTGTCATCGTGGTAAAAGCTACTAGGCTGCTCATACGGCAAATTGTAATTTATCTGGCCGTGATCCTGATAGTGGTATGCGTCTGAACCTGTCGTGAGGTCCACGTGGCTTATATCCTGCGGATATCCCTCATAATATCCTGGAAAGCTCGGATGTTCGGTAGTATGATTGCTGAACGTTGGTTTGAAGTCTATATATGGCTTTCTCGTTGTAGTTTTATCTCTTATTACGGTCTGATTCGTGTCAGCAGTCATGTTCGTTGCTCCCATGGCTGCTGGCGGGTCGGTGGCACCCACCTGAAGATTTTCATGCTGTCTGGGCGATCCTTTGAAGAGATCACTGTGCTTCCTCTGAGCTTCCTTGCAGCCACGCATCACCGCCTAAATAGCGATAAAACCAGTCAATAGTGCAATCGCCACATTATCACGCAGCAAACAAGAAACAATTTCGCTCCTTTCGAGAAAGTGCTTTAATAAAGCATTATAAATTTCCACGAGCGATAGAGATCTCTGTCGATTCTAGCCGAGCATAAAAAGGATGAAAATATTTCCTGAAATGTTGCGTTTATTGCCAAAGCACGATTCACTTCGAGAGAGAAACGCAGGAAAGCGCGGCACTTTCGTTCGTAATAACGCGATGAAATATGGCAGAAATGAAGTGGCGAGCTGAGATTAGCGGTCTGACGTATGTATCTTGATATAAGACGTCGCTCCATTTAAGAGTCAATACCTCAACACGTGCGTTATCTTGTCACGTACAGTTTATAGCACCGATTTGTGAGCCCAAATAAAATTACAGATGCGTCTGAGTACTGAAAATAAAGTCATCGACTCGTGCATTATCTACGAGAAAAACGAAAAATAGACCTGGGAAAGTCTTAATTATCTGTCACACGACATCTGCAAAAGCATATGTTAATATTCTATGTTAATATTCGTACTCATGTGTTCGCGACCGGCGACAGAAGTGAGACATTATTTTTGCATTAATGATTGCGCTCAGCAGAAAAAGTAGTATTTTTTTTAACGATACTTAAGTTTTTCCAACATGACTACTAAGCAATCTAGTATTAAAAGTATACTGAATAAAATGACGATCATTTAATAAATAAGTTGGAAGCTCCTGTTTCTTCGTCGCGGCCACCTTGAGTAAAATTTATAACGTTAGAACCGAGAGAAGTTACATTAAAAATTCACCAAAATTCTGGCAAGATACGTAAAACTAAAAAAATATATCCGTAAAATGACACTTGCAATTGATTGAAACATAAAATAGTTGAGACACTTTCCTTTTGTTCTAACAATAAACAACATTAACGTGAGAGAATCACGAGAAAAGTTAGTTTAGGTTAGGTTAGCTTAGGTTAGATTAAAAAGCTAGATTACGTGTCATCTTAATTTTACGGTAATTTGTTGATTGTTACAGCAAAAGGCAAGGGTTCGGACAGATCGATTGCAAGTGTCAGTTCTACGGGCATATGTTCTTATTTCCACGTACTTTGCAAGAATTTTTCTCGCGTATTTTCCCGTCTCTGATGCCGTCAATCAAAAGTTCCACGACGAGAAGCCAATAACGCGTCTTGAAGCGTTAAGCTGCTTCTATTGCAGCCAACGGGGATCCACAGAGATATGCGTCCGCGCTCAAACACGAAAGGTACATCGCACCTCTTTCCACGCAATTAATCCCGATTCGATCGCGCGGAGCGAGTGAAGCCGAGCCGGTGTTTTCGGCTCTCTCGAGAAAGCGCGGCACACGCCGCCGGATGAGATGCGCGTCGAGATAAAACGTCGCGTGGCTTTCTGCTCTGATTTCTGTTTGCTCACCGCTGCGCGCGAGCCGAGAGATCTATTAAATTCTTACCTTCTCTTCCGCGTTCCGATCAGTTTGTAATTCCGGCCGATGATCAGCCCTGTCTTCACTAATGGCCGCGTTCTTGTCACTGTCGGGATTCTTCTCCTGGTCCGCGTACTCTTCATTGTTTTCCGCAAAATCGCCCGGCTGCCTGTTGTCGAACAAACTGATCACTTGCTGCGTCATATCATTATGCGACGACACCTGCAATGGCTTTGCCGGATCGGCAGTCGGCAGGAGTCCGAAGGGAGTGTGATAAAAGAACGGATAAGGTATGAGGGAGTAAGGACTGTAGTAAGCGGCGAAGTAAGGCGAGGTTTTCGAGTGACCCAAATTCAAGGCGAAGGTCGCTTGTGGCATCTTAGCAATGGTTTTTACACTTGACGATGCCGCAGTGGCCAACCCACCAACACTCAGACCAGCTAAAAAGGCCAGACCCCCTAATAGTCGCGCCTTTCTTTTATTTGCCTCGCTTCTTGTATTGTCCAGGTTCCTTGGTTCCTCTACTTTTGCCGGCTTACGCAGATCTAGATTTCTCAAAGGGAGTCCTTTGTCGATCATATAACTAGCGTTTGCCTCCATTAAAAAGCCTGCATTTTTAGGATTAACAACGGTCGTAGCCGGAAGTGTGTCACAGCACATCTCTGCAACAAGAATAGTCGTCGGTATCGGAGTTATCACTTTTTCTTTTTAGCGAATCGAGAGATCACGCGACTACGAAATCGATATCGAAATATTGTTTATCCGAGTGTCGAATAGACGTTTACCACTGCAACATACGGCGACGGCTATTAAAACGACGATGAGGGAGTCCATCGTGACCGCGTCGTGATCGGAACGAAAATGAGGTGACACCGCGTAGGCTCTTGGACGAAATGAAAAAAGCTGCGGGTCGCCCCCATGTTTCGTCTCGAGAAAGTGTGTTTGGCAGATATCGTTATAAGTATGGTAATTATATTGATTTAATAGCTTCCTTCCTAGTCGTGGCAATTACGCTTCGCATAGAAAATGTGGGCTATCGACGCTCGAGATTACTTTATTGTGTATCCGACTGCTTTCAAAACTTTCATACTGGGAGAGATTTCTGCTTGAGTCCGGCGCCTCCCGCGAAAGTTGCAACAGTAAGGCAATAATGTCAGTTTAAACGATAATGGGTATTATCTAAAAAGCTAATAAATTTATGTACGTGTTATACAATTTCGTTCTCTTAAGGGGTTCATAAAGCAAAATGAATTGGTTAAGCATTCGTTGAAATTTGCACTACATACAAGTTGAAGCAGAAAAGTAAATATAGAAATTTGGCATTTTAAATTGATACGTTTAAACTATTTGTATCAAATGCAAAATAATATCGGCAACATGAAGATGAAACAGAATAATAATAAATAATATACTCCATTTTCTCGACTTTATGCACTGAAGCTTTCTCCGGAACAAATTTCAATAATATCTGTGAAATGACTTGCAATTCTTTAGCTCGTTTGAAATATCAATTGTCATACATTCTTTTATCGTTATGTGTCATATTTCAGAAACTCTTTTACAGTTAGTTTCAATGTACCCATATTATGTATTCTACACTTTGCACTCTTTATGTTTAAACGCAGTTTTCCGTTTGTCGATATATCATATATTTACAATGTTAATTTAACGAATATGTTGTGTAAAACTATTTGCTAATGAAAAACTGTTTGCTAATGAAAAGATTCACAGACGGTGCACAGCATTAACACATACACTACTGTGATTACTGATCCGACTTAAATGGCAACCCGAAGATACCTCAATTCATAAGAATTTAAATATGGCGCCAACGTTCCTTCTCGTTGCGCGCGCAAGCTTCCTATTGACTCTTGTGGTCTGTTCTTTTCAGCTACACTGCCGAACTGGTGCAACAAGTGAGACAAGTATATGTTTTCTCACTCTAACTTATTGCATCAGTTCAGTAGTGCAGCTGAAAAGAACAGACCATCTGCCATGAGCTGCGAGAGAACCCGATTGTGTCAGTTTCAGAATTCCTTGCGATAAAAAATGGTCCAGCAGGAGGAAGTTAATGGAGTTTCTAGCGCAAATACCGCGAACCTGGAATTTGCGACTCCGGAGAAGCAGCAGGCCCGTGCGTTTCTGCGCGAGCGATTCCTACGTGTCGTTACTGGCATTGTCGGTAAGAAATTTCATTTAGTCGTTGTGTATACATTTCATTATACATTTCATTATATCTTAATCGTACTCGGAAACCATTTGAACTGTTCCCGCCATTCTCGTTAACACATCCAAGAAGCAAATATCAGGTGTAATATGTAATCTTAACGAGTATTTATGAGAATTTCTTTTGATATTTTAACTTCACGCAATCGCACAAGTAACCTTGGTTGTAATGTTATGACACTTGGTAAACAGCATTTACATATTAAAATTGTAACGTCTACTCACATAGCACAAATGTTCACTAGATATCGTAAGAATGTTCTAAATTATTCAAATATTTTTATAAGTATGAGTATAGGCGAGTTTTTTAATTCATCGATAGATCCATCGCATGATGCGTAAATACACCGAAACATTGCATTTGCGCATCATTAAATTAAAAAACTCGACCTGTATATTTTCTCGAGAATCGCTCAAATATGGCGCCAATCGAGGGAAAGTCCATCTGCTTTATATTACGCGCCGCGACAAAAAGCTCAAATTATTAATTATTAAAGAAATATCTCGCGACAATGTGAATAAATATGTATTTAATAGGCATCGACACTTTAAGTTAAATTTAAAATTTTCCGTTCTACTGCACCTCTTGTAGATTATAATTTATCCGGAAGCGTTGTTACACAAAAAGAATGTAGTAATTCGTAATTTGTTGTTTAATATTCGTTATTGCCAACCGATTCAATTTAAATATTCAAATATTACAGGCAAGCAAGCAGAATTTTACTTACACGAGAATACACGTGTGTCGGGTGAATTCAGAGGTTGCAATGTAGAATCTTCCGAGATTTTCGTAAGAAACTTGGAAACACCGATCGGCAAGATTCCAGAAGCCATCCTTCGAGGTAGCGACATTATTCACTTAAGCATCGACATCGATATCGATCAATAGAAGATGAAACAAGATTGACACAAACGAATATAAAATAAAGGTATATAACGTAAAATAATTTACCAAGCATTTTATATAATTAGTTTTATTTTCGAAAATGTCTAATCTTTAAAATAAAATTAGAAATAATTCTCAGGTAGTACAAGACATCCTAACATACTGTCCAGGATATATCTCGATAAGTGCTTCTGGGATGTCTTATGCTAAGCTGAATGAGGTATATTTGGTTTTTAGGAGCGCCGCATACTTAGCATCGTGTTTATCTCCGAAATAATACGCCTTAAGTGGTCAATTATTTCCTTAAGATGCCTATTTTTCAATATCACTTGCTAAAAAGAAACATTTTATTTTTTATTTGCACTTGATACGATAACGACACGTGTATAACAGTCTTGGCATTCTCACCTCCGTAATTTCTTTGCTCTCTTCGCAAATAAGTCTATAAGCTTCCGACGTTTTTTTCTCATCGGATTTCATATCCCACTCTTCCTTCAGTGGAATCAAACTTTCTATATGTGTGTATTCCATACCTTGCAGTTGACAATTCTCGTTACATTTTTCGTATATCAGTCTTAGACGCTTAAATAGCATCTTCAACATCCTCAATTGATCGTAGATCTTAGTTTTCTTTTCATTTGCAATATTAGTCCCTTGTGTTGTACCTGTGAATAAGCAATATATTTATAAAGTTAATACTTAACAGTCAAGTTCATTAGGAAAAAGAAGGAAAAGAGAAAACTCGTATGTTGCCAGCGTATTGTGGAAAAGTACCATTAGGTGGTTGCACGACTTTCAAAGTTTGGAAAAGCTCTAAAGTGCGGCTGACAATTTCTTGCACCGTTTCTTGCCCAAATCTACACAAACTGACGGTATTGAATTCCTTAGTTTGTTGCGGTTGCTGAGGTGGTGGCTGAGTAGGTGGGACTGGAGTCTGCGGTGTTGTGGCTTGATTGCTGGCTTGACTATTTTGTTGAACCATCGCGGCCTGTTGTTGTTGCTGCAATAATTGTTGCTGCTGTATCTGTTGTAATTGTTGCTGCTGCATCGCGATGGATGGATGCTGTTGCTGTTGCTGCTGTGCCAATACTTGTTGAGAGCTGGGCATCCCCATGGCATTAGTTCCGACATTACCGACACCGACCCCAACACCTACTCCCACACCAAATTGTTGAGGATTTACCATGTCTGTAACAAAAATGTCTTATTTGATTTCCAAATTTCTATTTTTGTTTCATTTCTAAAACTTTAGCCGTTTTACAGACGTCGTATATATTAGACATCATAGAATATTAGATACTATAGATATATATAGTCACGCACGTTGATCTACATAGCCCCAGTCTTTTAAACGATTGACCAACTTATCATGATCTCATTAAAATATAAATTCTTTTATGAATTGGAATTATCAATGTCATTTTTGTAACAATTTGATGGAAACTGACTTTCAAAATAACTTGTCCAATCTATTTCAATCGTGTTCTCGGTAGTTCATATTCTTCTATTTAAATTTGTATTTGTCTCGGTAGTCCATATTCTTCTAAAATTTGTATCTGAAGTTTGTATTGTATCTACGTTTGTATCTATAGCAATCCTCCGAGCCACTATCCGAGCGCGAGGAAGTGAAGAAACCATCGAAGAAATATCTGAATTTGAAGAACTATCTGAACTTGAAGAACCATCTGTACCTGAAGAACTATTTGAACTTGAAGAACTACCTAAACCTGAAGAACTATCTGAATCTGGAGAACTATCTAAACTTGAAGTAACATTTGAATCTGAGCTGTCTATTATATCGCCCATGATTTATTATTATACTTTTTTCTTAATTTTCTAAATCTACTGATATTAAACTCTGACATTAAATATATGCTCAAATATTAATGTCTGTCCGACAACTTATCAGATCTATAACTGTCGACGTATCAAGTATCAAATAATAATATATGTCAAAGGAGACAACGAGACAAGGAGACAAAGGACAAGTCGTCCCATGTCAATATTTATGAAACAAACATCAAGGTCTCAAGTATTTATGTACAAGATAGAAGACTACATCATTAAAAGATGCACAATTTTCACATATTACGGCTATAATTAGAATAAAATTATTAACAGCTTACTTCCTTGTTGCGGTCCCATTAAACTAGAAACCATTTGTCCGCCACCAAACTGTGTACGTAAAGCGGATTGTTGTACATTGGGAAACCCACCCAAGAAAGGATGTTGTTGTCCAGCCATGTTGCTTTATTTAAAAATAAAGGTCATCAATTGAGTATTGTATTTGCTAAAACATATAAATTAACCAGGATACATTTCTGAAAACCATCCATGCTTTATATCTGCATATCGTCTCATTAAAACATTCAAAATAATCTCAATATTTCTTAAAGCATCTCTTAAAGACAAACCATTTTTTTTCCTTGATATCTTATTATCTAATTATTACTAATTATTAAAGATCTAATTATTACAAAGATTAAGTTGGATAAATGTAATTATAAAAAAATACTAACAAATGCAATATAAATACAATGGATATAACAATGTTAATTGCAAATGGGTGAAAATTTTAATATTCTCAATATTTATATTTTCTCAGTTAGTCTTTCTTTTTCACATTACAAGTTACATTCACTTATGCACATGTTGCACACATAAGTGTGCTTTCGACATGTTGGAAAAATAGCAACTGTTTAGTAAACATGTTGCAAAAGCATAAATCATTATAAATCATTCAAAAAAATCTCAACATTTGCAGAATTATTTAGGCATTACTTGATCGATAACATTGATTAATCAGAATTTTATAAAGAGCATTTTTATCTTGCTAAATGTTATTATTGAATATTCATTTGATGATAACTCTTTAAAAGACAGTGTGTTTTTTATCTTTAGGTGCCAGGTTACTACCATAGATATAAATTTTGTCAAAAAATATTTATTTTTCAAAAATATATGTAAACAATAGACTACGCATATTGAAAGAAAAAAAACAATGAACCTTTGACTAGTAATATATAGCTCTCAAATTATATTTGCAGAATACTAAATTATAATTAGCAACTAAGTTGTATCTTCAGCCTCTTCTATGGAATAAATTGACATTTGTATCTTTGGTTGACGTTTCTTTTATAAAAATCTGTTCTTTTGAGTACCTAATTATAGTATAAATTTCTTTGTCTATATTTTTAAAACTATACATAATCTTCATGGTCTTTCAAGCTTTCTTTCATACTGGAATGTATCTATTGTTTCTTATCAGTCTTCTTGAATATTCTTTCTCTTTCCTCCTCATAATTCTTACAGTGATAAAATGCATAACCTCCCAGAATATCTATTATACTTACTTATCCTAAGTATTTATTCAGATTGTAATTATTGGCTCTGATTCTGTTCATAGAATACACATCTAATGATGGATTTAAGATGATCAAGATTTATAGCTCACGAGAAATATAAATAACGTTTGAAAGAAGTGCCAATACAAGGCATTAAGAGTGTTGATATCGTCATTTTGATTTGATCCTAGATTATTTCTGTCAAAGGATATATTAAGAGTATAAATTATTATCGAAATTTCAATCATCCACTACTGTATATAAACTAATCTTGAGATTAGACTACGTGTAGCTAGAATGTGTAATTTTTACTTCTGTATGTTTCATTTATCAGCGAAATTTATTATATGATTAAAATTGTAATGTGTATACCATTTGTCTGATCTGAACATCAGAAAAAATAATGTATTACTAAATAATGTATTAATGTATTACTTACGCAAAAGCACTATAAATAAATTCACTCCCCTCTTTGGTATATGTGTATTATCAAATAGTACAAGAAAGAATCAGGCGTCTAGCATTGCAAGAATGAATTGTTGACATCTTTCAACGCATCTGCGCAAAGAACGCAACGAACTTCGTCGTGCAATCCTCATAGCGTGTTCGACTGGCCCTGGGTTAATCGCTCCGAGAGCGATTAATGACGTCATAAGTCTCTACTAGCCAATCATAAAGCTTATAAGTACTTGTTCGACCAATAAACGTGGGCTGAATAACCCAGAGCTAGTCGAACATGCTATCAGTGGCTGCGTTCAGCAGAGAAATTCGTCAATCTGATTGGAGTATGCTCTTAATTTGAGTTGAATACAAAAGCATGTGACCAATCAGATTCACGAATTTTACAATAGTTGCAAAGCAGCTTTCTCTGC